AGATTATTTATCTGAGAAATAAAAAAGACCTCTTTTTCAATTGAAACACAGTATGCTCTCACTGGCCTCACAGAACCAGTAAAAAGGGGGGAAAAGATTAACCTTTCGGAGCCTCTACATTGTGTAACAAATCCTTGTTTACTCTCTCCCCACCCCTCCATATCCTCACACACAATAGGGTGGTCACAAGGTTGTGCCCTAGGAGCTAAGGAAGCCTCAGGGCAATGAAGAGATTAAAGTCAAAGTGACACCCCCAGCCAACAGGAAGCCCTGGAGTTTTTAAGCTTCACTTGCCATGCCTAATGAGGAATGCATATTCCAGATGCTCACTTCTACTCTTTCTTTTTTTAACAGAAGATTATAGGTGGTCCAATAAAAGAGACTAGATTGTTTACCCTACCTTTCTTAACTCATATTACTTTAATCAGGACTTCCTCTAACCATAAGAGGAACACAAAAACTTGGAATTAAGAAAGTCAACTTTTTTTTAGCAGATGGTGCTCTCTTACTCCAGATTTATAAACAACAAGCTAAATACAACATCATGTGTGTGTGCTGTCAAGTCAGAACCAATTTATAGGAACCCTAAGAGGGCTTCCAAGGTAAATTAGATATTTAAGGAGTGGTTTTACCAGTTGCACTCCTCCAGTGAGTTTCCATGGCCAAGTGGGCATTTAAACCCTGTTCTCCAGAGTCCTAGTCCATAACTCTATCCACTGCACCACACTGGGAATGACAAAATACAACATTAAGGATCATTTGTATTCTCAAATATTATTTAGAGTCTGACATCTCTTTTCACACGTAAGTCAAATATATGTTTTTGTAGACTGAACAATTCCCAACCATTTTTAGAAATGTCTTTAACTCCTATGGGAGTTCAAATGTTTCATGGAAAAGTAAAGACATCTGCCAAAATTAAATTACTGAGGGTGGGGTGTTTATAACTAGTTGTTTTATTGTAAGAGTCAGCAACCTGAAATCCTGGGCCCAGTGGTCTTCAACATTTTTATTAATGATCTGCATCAGGAGGTGCACTGAATGCTAATCAAATTGGGGATGATACAAAATTGAGTAGAATGTTTGGAAGACAGAAACAAAATTAAATAATGATCTGGATAGGTTTCAGCACGGGGCTGAAAACAACACAATGAAATTCAACAGGGACAAGTGCAAAGTACCACACCTTGGAAAAAGAAACCAAACACACAGTAACAAGATGGGGGATACCTAGCTCAGCAATAGTACAAGCAAGAAGGACCCTGGAGTTGTTGTAGATCACAAACTGAATAAGAGCCAACAGTGTGATGTGTCTACAAAAAGGCAAATGCTATTTTAGGCTGCATTAATTCAATTCAATTCAATTTCAATTTATTTTATTTATATCCCGCCTATCTAAAGTCTCCAAATCCCATAAGGTACTAGTTCCCCTCTGTCCCAGCTCCCGCCAACCTAGCGGTTCGAAAGCATGCAAATGCAAGTAGATAAATAGGGACCACCTTTTGGGAAGGTAACAGCGTTCCGTGTCTAAGTCGCACTGGACATGTGACCACGGGAGATTGTCTTCGGACAAAACGCTGGCTCTATGGCTTGGAAACGGGGATGAGCACAACTGGACAAAAATTGTCAAGGGGAACCTTTATCTTTACCTTTACCTTTTACCAGGATGCAGTGGAAGACAGGAAGGCCTGGTGTGCTCTGGTCCATGGGGTCATGGCAACAAGCCTCATTTTGAGTATTGTCCCCAGTTCTGGACATCGCACTTCAAGAAGGATGCCAACAAATTGGAACACCAAGCCCTATGCGGAACAACTGAAATTGGGCATGTTTAGCCTTGGGAAAAGAAGACTGAGGAGAGATATACAGTAATAGCACTTTTCAATATTTGAAAAGCTTTCATACAGAGCAAGAGCAGGATCTGTTCTCAATCATCCCAGAGTGCAGCAGGACATATAACAATGGGCTCAAGTTAGAGGAAGCCAGATTTTGGTTGAATATCAGGAAAAACTTCCTGTTAGAGCAGTATGGCAGCAGAATCAATCAAAAATACAATCACCTGGGAGATGTTGTTTGATTTGTATTCCTGCCTTGAGCAGCAGGTTGGACTTGATGGCTTATAGGCCCCTTCCAGCTTCACAGTTCTATGAACCAACAACCCCTTGACAGCAACCCCATCTTCTGCCATCTGTTCCCATTGGCTAACTAAGAAGGAAAAAATGGGTGTGCAACTGTGATAATTGGAGTTTGAGGAGGGCTTTTTTCAGATTACCTGATAATGCCTGTTCTTAACAAAAGCTTTAGTGTAACCATACAGGTATTTTGGATGAAATCCCATTAGATCCAGGCTTCACAGCCAATGGTCAGAAATCCCAGAAATGGTCATTCAAAACACTTGGAAGTCATCAGGAGGAAGGATGCCTGATGTAGCACTTTTCCTTCTGAGAAGCCATCTAGCTTAAGACTGCTTCATATTTTCGTAGCTGTATGTATGGTGTAACAAGTGAAGGAAATACATTTCCCTTTCGTTTTTAACTCTGGGATTACAATTACAACTCCTTTCCTCTCTTATACAAGAGACTCCTGGTGAAGTCTAGACTGGCAGTGGCTAACTACCACAAATGGTTCAGTTGCAATGATTAAGGTATCTGAAGGCTTCCTGGATATTTCGGAAGAGCTTCCTCTTGGCATAAGAGACATTCTTGCTGAAGTCTCAGACTGCTTACAGAACGGTGAAAGGGCTGTTGACATGGTCAGGCACGTATCCCATTTCAAGTAACAGCTTCTGAACACTTCTTTGGTTGGCTGGTTCTGGGTTTTTCGGGCTGTTTGGCCGTGTTCTGAAGGTTGTTCTTCCTGACGTTTCACCAGTCTCTGTGGCCGGCATCTTCAGAGGACAGCAACCTGTGCTTCTTTGGTTCACCGGCATGTTGCACATAGGTTCTAAAACTGAGAGGAAGAGGGCTGGATTGCAGGCAGAGCACTTATCAAAGTGGCTATGATCAGACCCAAGGGAGGCCATGTCACACCTCCTTTGCTGCAGTGATGGTTGTCAATCCACTTCCATCACTGCTGCCTCCTCAAGAGCTTCTTCAGGTACAAAAGGAATCATTACAAAATAAGAATCTGGTGAGGAAACAGGGGGCTCTTGGAAGCGGGAAAATGTAGTTATAAATTATCACATTTGAGAGGTAATAGCTTACAAGTAACATGGTCACTCATAATATCTTTTTTGTGTAATGAGACTGTAAGAATGTGACATTACAAAAATATTATAAGGAGCATGACTGAAGTAACTTCACTGATACAATGAGCAATGTTGCATAGCTACTTTAAAAATATTTTTAAAATTATTTTAAAATACATTTAAAAGCCTTTTTTGATTATGCCTTATTAATCTGGTTTAATATTTAAAAAAGAGAAATTAACCCAAAAAATGGGCAACACAACAGATTGTTTAATAAATTGCTTTTTCAACACTGCAACCATTGACAGAGGATTCCTTTTCAACCATTTAATAAGTAACAGGCACAAACTACTTTTACGAAGTTGACTTTCTAAGCTCTGGAAATCACCTGTATTCATTCACTATTATTGAACCAGCTTCTGTGGAGACAGTGAGAGAACCATGGGCTTGACAGCCTCAGGCTCAATTGGCGCTGCTACAGAAAGCAGACATCAACCTAGTGTTCAGAGGAGTTCAGCAAACCACCTGCATGCCTGACTTTTAATCACCCTGACTATCAAGAACAAGGAGATGAGCATCTAAGAGGAGAGTCTGATAGATGCTGAATGCCTTTTAAAAACAGGGGCGGTGTAAGATGTCTCGTTTGCCTGGTCTGTTGTTCAACTCTGATCCCAGAGACATATTTTGGCTTTCTTTTTTAAAGTGGATTTACACTCTTTGCACAGCTTGTATGCAAATTGAAGGGGGGGCTCACTGGTGCCATGGTGGCAAGATCAGAGTCATGGTGGCTGTCCAAAGGCCTGGTTCCTACGGAACTGAGTTCAAGAGAGGTCAGTGGGCTCAGCCACCCTTGTTCTGACAGCAAATCTGACAGCCCCAAATTAAACAAGTGAAGTGCGGCCACCCGCTTTTCAATTCTAAGGACAAAACCAATTAGTGCCTGCGTGCTCTGGAAGGTGCAGGGACAAACAAAGAACGACCGAGCACTCTTGCTAATTCTGCGCCAAAGGAACCAACCGGTCGTCCTCAGCAGTGGGGTGGCTCTGCGATCCCACCGTCACGCGCCTTCTAGGGGAAGTCCATCAGTGTGCCCTTTCATCCTTCCCTGCACCCCTGAGGAAAGACAAATGGGCAACCAAGCATTCCCAGAGAGCTCGTGTGTGGGTAACAGCGCAAGACTGCGTCGCTGTTTACTCTGGAGTAGGTTTTAGCAGTCCAGTGAAGCGTAACAGCCGAGTGGGTGGGTACGGAGAGCGGCGTGCTTAAAGTCTAAGAAAGGGACGCGAACGAAAGGAGAGGAAACCAACTGTGGTTTACTCTGAGGACGGAGAAAAAGCCCTCTCCCCGTCTCAGAAGCACTCCAACTACTGCAGAGAGTAAGGAACGAAGGGCGCGGGGTTGACATGCCCTCCTTTTGTTTTGTTTCTTTTAAAATTCCAAACGGCGCGAAAAACTGGCTAATCCCGGACAGACCTTGGCAGGCCCACTCATTGCCCCGGTCTCAGCGCCTCCGGGAGGGATCCTCCCGCCGCCCAAATGCGAGACTTCTGGGCGAAGCTCGGCGGCCGAGAGGCGACTGGACTGCTATGGCTCCAAGCGGGGCCGGGGCAGAAGCTGGCGAGAGAGGGGCGGAGCTTGGCAAGACCGGGAGTCCACTTAGCAATCTCTCCCCCCACACACACACACACACCCGACCCCCGCCTTGTGAAGAGAAAGCACTTTGCGTCGCGCGACTGTCCGGGATGTGCTATCTGGAGCGCGCGAGCGCGAGCGCGCGGCGAGGCGGGGAGGGGGAGGAACCTGCTCGCTCACTCACCCACAGCTCTGATGAGGAAGCCCTTCGGCGGGCGCAGCGCCCTCCGGAGCCAAGCGTCGCGGAGGAGCTGCAGAGGGGCGGCGGGGCCTTGCAGCAAAAGCACGCCCCCCCTCAGCCAGCCTTGCAGCCGGACCCGCGCCACGGCGCGCACCAGCCCGGCGTTCCAGTAGCAGGCGGCGTTGGCGCGCCGGAACGCCTGGAAGACGGCGGTGCCGCCCGCGTCCTCCTCCTCCTCCTCGTCGTCCTCTACCGCCGCCTTCTCGTCGTCGTCGGGCACGGGCTGGTCCGGGGCTGCCGCTGCCTCTTGTGGCCCCACTTCTGCCGGGGGCGGCAAGCGGCGCAACACCAGAGCCAGCGAGCTCGGGGCCAGCTGCACGGCACGCGGTGCCAAGAGCGGCGGCGGCGAGGGGAGAGGCGACATCCCGGAGCTGCCTGGACGGGCAAGCTTGCGCTCCGTCCCCTCTTCCCGCTCGCTGCGGCTGCCGGGGCTGCCAAGGGAACCGAGCTCTTGTGGGCGAGGGGCGGGGAAAGAGAGCTGGCCCGGCTCCACTCGAGGGGCAGGGCCAGGAGGAGAGCCACCTGCTGCTCGTCCTACCACCCGACCCTCTTGCCTGCCCGCCCGAGGAAGCAGGCAGGCTTTCACACCGCTCTCGCTCTCTCTGCCACGCAATGCCCCCCACACACGCATACAGATTGGCTTTGTGTACCTGTCCAAACGTCGCCCAAACTCGCGCGCCCTCCCCGCTTGCCAGCCTGTGTTGCCGTTCCCTGAGGGGATGATCCGCTCCGTGCCCTGGGATGCCCTCCAACATGCGCCCGGCTGGTCTTGCCACACGCGGGACCTCCGTCGACTTGGCTCCGGACTGGGTTTGGGGAGGGCAGGGCCGCTGAACTCCGTGGGTCTTACGTGCGGTCCCCTGCGTTTCAATGGGTGTCTGCTGAAGCATCACGAAGTACAGGAGGTTCTGTGCAGAGCTAACTGGCTCCAACCGAATGAATGCAAGTCTGCCGGGTGAATAACCGCCTTCCCATCACACATTTTACCCTAACTATCCTAGATCTAATGGAAGCAGGATCCTCCTGACTCCGACGCCAAGAGCCCCCGCAGATTCTGAAAAACATTTTATCAGCCGAGGGAGAGTGCCTATGGGAGAGAGTCTCAGGGGCACCGGAAAAGTGAACAGAGTAGTTTGGCATCAGGTTCTCCTGGTGTACATGTGGAACCAGAAGTTAAAATGACAGCAGTTCAAGGACAGCAGGTGAGAGGAGAGTACAGGCATACACTGACCATTCCTGCTGACCTGAGTGATGATGACACTATAGGTGGCACCACTCTTGAAAGGAAGCAGCAGAACGTTTATTTAAAATATTTATACCCTGCCTTTCTCCTTCAAAAGGAACTAAGGCAGGTCACATTGCTGAAATAATATTTAAAGCTGAAAACAATAAGTATACAACAGTGGTTGACATCATTAATTACAATTTGCAAGGAAGCGGATGCAACTGAAGGATTTCTGCATTAGAATGACACCCGGTTATTTTTCCTGCCACTTTAAATGTGGTACATGTGGTATAACAACTGGTTGTTATGGTTGTTACATGCTGTCAAGTTCCCTCTGATCTGTGAATGAGGGCTCTCCCAAATGCCCTGTCCTCAACAGCCCTGCTCAGCTCTTGGAAACTCATGACTGTGACTTCCCTTCTAGAATCAGAATGACTGGTGAAAGGCAGACAATCATGGTTCCCATACTAAGTGGCACTGTGTGTCACCTAGATTTCAAGCAGGGAAGTAGAACATAGCACTGCTTTTCAGCAGCAGGGAATACAGTAGCATGCAATCTGCTTGTGAATTCGCTTGATATGACCCAGAGTTCAGATATGATAACACTGCTTTGTAAAGCTATGCCCAGATAAAGAAACCAGGTGCAAGCATTGCTCTGTGGGATTAATGCACAATAATAAGCAAACTATGGCACTGTGCCAGCATTTTCTGTTTGTGTCTCATTTGCTAGTTTGATGGTCACATGTCGATTCCAAAAACACAAAGCTCTCTTTGTGAGTCTGACACATAATACTGTCTATGCAGTTCCTGTCCGAATACATGTTAGCTTTCAATGAAGCCAAGGGTTGAAAAAAAGTTATAATTTGATACATTCCATGTATGGCATAGAAATTTGTTATGCATAATTGCTTATATGGGTCATTACATGTCCATAAAATCCATGATGTTGCCCTATCCAACAATGAAATGGCTTGTTTTAACACACTCTTCACTAAGCACCCTTTATTTCTCTTCTGAAAGTATTTAAATTCTAATAAAGATGTAGGTCAAAATAGAATAAATTATTTGCTTTGTTCATCCATTTGCTTTTTAACTCCTCACTTTTATTTTTACACAAAATACAGTAGTATTTCTTCTGGCATGCCAGTAAAGAATGGTCCACATTTATCTCCCATTCCTATACCACAAATGCCAATACTGTACAGTATAAAGAGATTGCTGGCTGGATAGCTCATTGCTGGTTGGATCAGTCCCAAAGTTTAATGGCAGGGCTGTTGTTCATGCCAGGCAGGTTTTCTTAAAGTGAGTTGAGAGGCAGTGTGCAAATGGCTTGGGGAGGGGCGCTTGGAATTTATCTCCTATCCCTGCAAAACTAAATATATATGAAGGCAGATGTCCAAATGCAGAAATGGGTTCATGGCACTGACCACACTGCAATGCGTGCTGTGCAATACAAAAACCATTTTCACTCTCCTCCACATTAGGATGTGCATTGCAGCATGCATTTTGTTCCTTGGAATTAACTTAATAGGCTACAGACTGGAGCTAGTAGAACTAAGGTAAACCTAAGAAACTTTTTTTTACAGAGTCCTTTATGACTGCAGAGAAACTTCATACCTACATCAGTGTATGGTCCTTCAGCACATACTATGGAAGATTTGATGTGCCTGAAAGTCTCTTGCTGTTGCTAGATATTGGTAAAAAAAATTATCTGATATCTCTTAAATTTTACTGTGCACCGTCTGACATGAAGAGATTGCAAGCAACTTCAGTGTAGAAAATAGCATACAAATCTGGATGTGCATTAGTTCCTGGTCCTACAAGGAGTATGGAGAGAAAAGCCTGCTTCTACCTATGGGAAGACTAGGATCAGATCAGAATCTACTTCAATGCAGACAATTCTAAGGCGGTGAATTAAAGAAAGTTCTTTAATGAGGTACTGCACATGAATCTCTGGATTTAGTCTACCAATTGTTGTTTTCCCTTTAAGCAGGACTGAATTCTAGTATGATAGTATCACTGTGAAATTTTGAAGTGTTAAGTAAAAACTACCAAACTGTATTTCAAACAACCATTATAAAGAGAAAAAAAAGTATGAAGACTTTTCCAGGAAATTTGGTCTTGTGTTAAAAATGTCTGTTTTCCTCTTTCCTATTCATTGACATAATAATTATAAATAAAAATGAATTTTGATACAATTTAATTGGCAATACAGATTTTTATTTTATTTAAAACACATTTAATTGGCATTTATTCAATTTGTAATGTAGTGGTTTTATTTTAATTTAATTAACAATTTAAAAAAGGAAATTAAAAAGAGGAAGAAATTGAGAGTTAGAAGGCATGAAACAGTCAAACCTGTTTTCATCTTCAAAGGAACCTAATTATGTTAAATATTTAACCTGAAGTACTCTATTATTATAAGTTAACTGTTAAACACTGTCTGGACCATCCCCTTAAAGACTTAGTTTACACTGTGTGCTGTTAGGTGGATTCTGATTTACAGTAATACTAATCCAAGAAATCTACCTTCTATTTCTTCCATGTGTACTCTTGATTTTCCCTTCAATGAAGTCTTGCAGTATAATGTATTTTAATGACAAATTATGTGTCCAAGGCATGAGTGTTGTGTGTTTAATAGTCAATAGTCTGTGGGATATGAATGCTTCTTCTATACATCCACATTTCAAATATCTTGTATTGTTAATAGTCCAAACCTCACATCCACATAGGAGGGATGACCATATGTAATACTGTAATCTCAACATATGGAAACATTCAAGTGGAAAAAATTATTTTAGGTGCTACACAAGCACGCCTTGATGGTTGATTGTTGATGGCCATTTCATACATGCAAGTCATCACCTGGGTTAACCATGATGTTAGACCAGTGTGAGCTGCATCAGGCCATAGGCACTGTTGCTCAACAGCCAGACACACTCTCTCTTGAACAACAGATCTGTGTGCTACATGACTAATTTTGTGCCTCCTTAAACTGCTCTGTAGCCCTCAGCATAGTGGAGGACATTCTCTCATTGCCACTGTTGAAGTAAAATTCAACTCCCAGGATAAGTTTTCTTCAAAATGTAGAACAAGGATACAGTAATTTAAAAACAGTTTTGGCATTTCGGGAAGCAGGAAAGCAAATATTTAAATATGCATAATAGAAGTGCATATATGTAACTCTGATGGCAAGCATCTGCACTTCAAAACAAAAGCATGTCACAATGTTTTCATGGTGTCACAACACTGTCTCATTTCTGCTGCAAGTGCCAATCCCTCAAACTTTTAAATTTCATATATAAAAAGTTAATCCTGGGAAAAGAGTGAGTGCTTATGTTATAGAACAGACAATATTAAGAAGCAACAAAGGAATTAATGACAGGTTGCAGATTGGAGAATCTCTATCTCCCTGCCCCACTTTCGTCTGCTCTGTTGTTTGCTCCAGATGTACCAGACCTTTTATTTAGGTCACCCACAAAAGCCTCTGATGCTGCTTCAAAGATACAGTTCTGGAAAACATATCAGGCCATTGAATAAAATTAATTCTGTTCAATTTGAAGGGATGAGAAATGAAGAAGGTAGCCTTGGTCAGGCCCCTTTATTTTTTGACTGTCCACATTAATGAATGCTCCCAAAGAGTCAGTGTAAACTATGAATCCAATAATGTAACAATTAACAAGCAACGGTTTTATAATACAACAAATGACCAACAAATCCTTGGAACAGTGCAGAGTCTCAGGTTCTCTGTCATCCCATTCTTCCATTTGCTTCTGCATCATGTTGTTCTAAAATTCCAATATACTTTGCGTTTCAAAACAGACTAAAATACCCTACATACAGTGGATTCAAATACCATTCAGTTATATTTTGCTGGCTTTGCTAAATTCTTGCCACTAGTTCCTTAGAATAAAGGGCTTTCAAATACCCATAATGGTGATGAGGCCTCCCAAAGTGATGAGATGTAAGCTAGAAGCTGCTTTATATGTGTAGGCATGCCATCTGACTACACACCACCCTTAATGGCATACAACCAAATAGTCACTCTGATTCCATAGAATCATAAAGTTGGAAGGGACCTATTTCTGATTCCATAGAATCATAAAGTTGGAAAGGACCTATAAGGCCATCATGTACAACCCCCTGCTTGATGCTGGAATACAAGAGGATATCTGCCAGGTGCTTGTATAAATTTCTCACAAATGCCTTCAATGTTGGAGCACTCA